GACACATCCTCATCCATCCTAATCCTCAAATCAACCTTCTCATCCACATCATAAAAAAAATAGAATTTCCTTTTCTATTCCTATAGACATGTTTGGCAGTGGTGCCAAAATTTAATGAAAATTTGTAATTTGATGTGACGGACGGGTGTTTAAGCAACCGGTGGAAACTGTAGATACTACCCAAGTAACATTTTAAGTTTTATTAAATACTACAAAGCAACTATAAAACAACATTCATAAAACCCTGGTCAAGGCTATTTTGTAATTAATGCATCCACCAAAACCTCATTAAGATTAGAATATGTCTAGTTGGCCCACCCTGGAGAAAGTTCTGAAGGGTGTATTCTCGAAGCTCTTCAAGATTGATTTACAGCAAAAGGTTGTATGACGAACGCATTGAGAACCATTTGAAAGCTACAATAAAAGCTATTTAGCAACAATAAAAACACTTTCCGAGCTATTTCACCTAGCCACATGCTGAATCCACTAGGAAAGCATCATTCAAGATAGAAAAGGATTTATGAATCCGATCTTATCAAAATAATTAAAATAGAAACTGATGGTATAAAAATCTTGTTGAATATCCAAATTTATCACAATAGTTCTCATTAAGAGGCCTAGTTTTAAGTGACAGTTTAAATTTTATGTGAAATGTACGTGAAAACATCGAAAAAATTAAGTCCACCCTCGTAAAACGTTGATTTGACCAATTATTTAACATTGAAAAAAAAATATATTCTTTAGATCGAGCTTGGCCGAGATTTTTTTTATTATTTTTGCATTTAAATGTTTGCACATTGGTAAATTTACCAAAATATAGTTATATATAAGGAAATATTGATTGAAAATCGAAGATTGTAAAAAAAAAGACAAACTAATTGTAACATGGCGGCGGCATCAAAATTGATTTTCATGGGTCATTTGCGAAAAAGTTGTTTTGCTTCAAGAATTCCTTAACAAATTAATAAGGTTTTAAAATGGCTTTTATGAAGAAAACTTGCAGGCTGAATTGTATTTATCTAAAGCCATTTTGCTTGATCCTAACCCGTTCAGATTTATGGCAGCATTTATGGAGGCAAAGTTGCCTGCAAAAAGTTAAACGTCAAAGTTTGTTTATCTTTCGATAGTTGCGCTGTGAGATCCAGGATTCTTCCAGGCGGTTTTCTCCCGATGGATTGGAAGCAGTTACTCAGATAGTTTGCGATACTGTTTTACAACATTTCGCATGTCGAACAGCTGGAAGTGCAATCGTTCCCGAAAAAGATCCCCTTCTTCCGGATGATTACAGAAGTGCACCTTCCAACGATGCAGGGATGTACGCTTGAATGAAATTTTCGAAGATTTGATTCTAAAATCGCTGCTATGGATCGGAAACCAGCTAATCTCAGCTTACGAACAGTTTAAGTGGTTTGCTGTCGGTTGTTATTTCGATTGTCATCGCAAGATCTGGAGAAGACTGGTATGTTTTTCAACTTTAGACAATGTTTTATGAGTTCGAGGGCCCCGCTCACTTTACTCTTCTCCGACAGATGGTCAGTCGTTGGTGGTGTGCTGGTTCTTCTAAAGAAGTAAATTTATCTGAAATTGACTTTATGTTTTCATCCTACTTCGTCTATCCTTCGAGATTTCCTTGTCATAAATTTGGCATTTATTAACTATGAGGAACCATCTTTTAAGCTCAATTTGTAAACAAAGTATTTGGGGAGTTAATGATGCTTTTTAAAAAGGCTAAAAAGGAACAATAAATGCTTTTTTCTCTAATGCAAAACCTAATTGTTTTATGGTTGCTTTTATAATGATAGAACACGTTTATAAAGTATTTTATCATGACAATAATAAACAATTGCTAATGACGTTTATGCTTGAATTACAGAACAGTTTTAAGGAGGGATTTATAACTGTTTTAAATTTATTTTTAAAACAAGACAGTTTTCGACTTTCTTGCCAGACTATAAAAGGTTTTTAAAACAGCAAAAAGCTGAATTACCAAGCAGGAATGTTTTACACTTTAAAATGCTATATTTAAACCAAATGGATTGTTCATTGCCGTTATAAAACCATCATAAATCAGAGTGGATGCTAAACGGTTACTGGATTGTTACTTGGGTATAGATTCCATTGATAAGCGGATGGAAAGTGGAATGTAGTCAAACGAACTGTCAGCTAGTGTAGCCAGCATGAAGTCATCACTCCACATTCCGAATTATTTTGCGGAAAACGAAAGAAGGAAATATTACGCAAACCACTCCTTGATTTGCTTTGCACTTCATTTTGAACTTTTGCGCACAAAACAAAACAAACCTGCTCAACGAAGAACTCTACGATGGCATGAACATTTTTCACGAATGCCAGTAAGAGCATTTATTTTTCATGGTTGCCGAAAACACTATTCTAGATAAACAATTCAAAAGTTCCTATCTGCATTGATCGATTCTCTTCATCGACTTTCTCTTTCGTTAAAAACTCAGCTGCAAAACCTTTCACTGTTGTATTTGACGTTTTGGACGCTAAATAAGAACCTCCTTTAACAAACTATATAGTCAAAGCAGATAGGACCATTTAAAATGTTCATCGAGTATTCACGACATTCCTTTTCTATTTTATTGCATCTCTGTCTATTTTTTGCATACAATCCTGAACAATCCTTCTGTCTTTTCCGATCTATTCTTGTCGTCTTGCTCGGATGTCATCGCAGCGCTGGCAAGTATTTGTTTGCAACAAAATGCATCTGAATGGGTGTCGTTCCCCCTGATACTCCCTTTTAAAATATGACGCTTGAGTCAAAATGGCCTAAATAGCTATGGAAGATTCATATTCCCTCATGTTGAAAACATAAACAAAGTTTCATTTAAGTCGAAAAGATTCGCGTCGGAATTTAGATTTTGCAAGAAATTTCCGCATGGAACTGCTGTACCACGATACCGTGAACAACTATGTTCAATCGGATTTAATCGATAAAGTAGTAAAATTTAATAAAATTCGTTTCAGTACAGCATTTTTCCAATAGATTTTCTTGTATTTTGCGGAGTATTTTGTGGTAGGCAACATTTTAAGGGGGGAGTACATTTTGATTTTTCAACAAAATGCATTTTTTTTGGCTTGAAATGTTCCTTGGGATGTATACATTAATTTAGAAAAGACTCCAAGTCCGCCAGAATATTCCTTACCGCTTTACGAAGCGATTTCCTAAAACATGTACCGGCGCGCTGGGAGAGCATTTTTATCTTTAAACGCGTTTATCTCGAAACGGGGTTTTTCAAACTGGCGTGAGAAATAACTCTAACCAGTTATCATCAAATTTGGATATCGCCTAGGTTTTCTTGTTCAGAATTAAATTCTGCTTAGAAATACGTATCCACATTTTCGATTTAGTCAAAAATGGATTTATAATCTACGGTTTTGTAAGCATTTTTAGGGTGAAAAAATGGACTTTTTTTTCCTAAGGCCACAACTGTTGAAAAAATTAATTTAAAAAAAATCGGAGTACGTATTTCTAACCCAATTTTCTATACTAATCAGGATTTTTGTTCAATTTATGTTCCAGGATCACATGGAAAGGAGTATTTTCCCACGCCGTTTTCCGACTTCCGCGCGGGGACGCCAGCGCGACCTGGTGCACCGGCCACGGGGAGACGCCAATCGAGTTAAAAAAAATACAAATTGTAGTTCGAAGGATGACTAATAAATGGGTTATAACATATTTGCCCTCCCTGAGTGTTTAATTGCTTAAAAAATTAACGAAAATGCCTTACTTTTTGGACGTTCAAAGTGTACTACCCCCTTAAAGCAGGTTCGTCGCTGGTAAAAGTTGCTCACTCATTTAAATAATTTGAATTTAAAAAAAATGACAAACGTTTCTTTATATTAGTAGCAAGTAGCGTTTTACAGCTATAAACTCAGTTGGATTATAAGACCTACAAAGAATTAGTCGAAAGTGCCTTTATATTAAGGCTATTCTAATGAAAACTGAAAGGTACACGCAAAACAAATTTCTCTTACATCCAGTGTAAGGTTGGATTTATTACATCTTCCACGTTCCAGAAAGCATATTTTTGTATAAAACCTTCAAAATATGATTTTCTAGACGCAATGCATTTGGGGAAACAAACTTCGTCCGGAAAATAAGCTAACATTAAAATTAAAAAAAATATTTTAAAAACCTTCCGGCGACCACATTACAAAATTCTGTTCATGTCGCTAGACTTTGCCAATTCTGCATACTTTTCATCCAAATCTGTAATAGAATTTTACATTTCCCGGTTGGGTGTAGAAAAGGAAAAGATAATCGTAATCATCATCAGATCAGCACCACCCATCGAATTACGACGGCCGGAATTATGTTTGCATGTCATGCGCCACCAACCTGCATCAGGTGTTGTGCAACATCCCTCAATAAACGCAGGGAAACCCGCATCGAGTCAAATTGCTCCACAAATTCATCACCGTTGCGCAACACACTGCGCCATCGCATCATGAGGGGAGCAATTTTGTGACAATGTTGGCATTAACCTTTCTGCTGTCGTAGGCACTCGATCGTTTTATGTATTTCAGAGCACTCGCTACTTTGCTTTTGTCATCGGAAGAAGAGCTCATGGCGGATGCGGTGCACGCGTTTCTTTCCTCCCCGTGTGACAGCAATGTGACGTAAGCGCCACAATCATAAGTTTTGTTTTTGGGAGAAGATTTTTTCTGTTCCGGCATAATAGAAATGTAAATTTGCAGACAATTTTTCATGAATGAAGATTTCAGGAAATGTGGAATTTAATTTAACAAAATGAAGTTCATAGAACATACCCCCCAATGAAAACTCAAGTTTTTTGGCGTCAATAGGTGCTATTGAATATGAAAAGGCAAAAAGGTGAAAATTGGTCATAATGGCGCATGCGGCACTTTGCTGTCACACGTCAGAGACAGCAAAAACTCCTTGCACCCGTGTAGAAATGGCGGCGTTTGTTTTTGCGAAATGAAACACAAATGCGCTCTGGACGCGAGCAAAAAACTAATTTAATCAGCGTTTGTTTTTATTCACCTTAAAATTACATTCACTTTTTGCTAGTTTTCTTACTTGCTAAACCTACTTCTTCGTGATGATTCGCTCGCTATTCATCTTAAGTCTTATGGGAAAAAATAAATATGTGCGCGGCAGGTTGGCTTAAATCTCTAATTGAGGACTGAGCGAGCGAGTTGGAGTCGATTCCGGCCTGCACGGTGGGAAGTGGGATTGTATTTCACACCGATTCGGAACTGCGTGGCCATTCCCCACCGTGCAGGCGGCCGGCTCATTTGAACGTTAGAAAAATAACAGTGCACAGCAGGAACAAGCGGTAGCGGGTAATGATACACTATCTCTTGGAGGGAAGTCATCGGCTGACTCGCTAATTCTACGCTTTTTCGACAGGGGAAAACGTCCGCGTTCATCGCGTCACGGACGCCTTCAACGTTTGATGATGCGAAGCTTTGTCCGCACCACTGCTGGGACCCGTTTCACGGTTTTGCGTGGGCGCTTGTGAGTCCTTTTCCGCTTGTGTGGAAGTGAATGATGAGGGGGAGGATGATGCCTTACAGCTCGCTGGCTGCTGGCGGCATTCAGCGTTGATTGTTTTTGTTTGGAACTACTCGGCGGTTGGGGTAGGGCTGTGTACGGTGGGCCTGGTTTCTTGAAAGTAGGCTGTGGGTAGTCGCGAATCTTTTCCTTCACATCGTAGGAGTTCGGCGAGAAGCCCTGAGGGCCCGGATGTGGACCCCGATAGCGAGAACGTTCTCGGAAGGCTTCTGAGATGTCGTCTCGGTAGTAGGCTCGTGTTGCAAGCCGCTGCTCATGTGTCGACTGATCCTTTTTCGTCGGTTTCCTACTCTGTTTCTCAACAAGCCGCTCGGCTTCCTGCTCTAGGGCTTGTTTTATTTCGTCCTGCTGTTCATGGGCTCTATCTTCTTCTGTTTTTGAAAATATCGCCGGATAGAACTGAGTGATGTCGAAGATGGGTAGGGAGAAGACTTGTGCATGCGATACACCATCATCGGTGCCATCCTCCCTTCGCTGAGCTTTCCGAGTAAGATTTGCTCGCATACTCCTAGGAACTGCTATCATAAACACATTACTATTTTTGGACTTGGAAGTCTTACTGACGGACATGTGATTCTTGATGTGACGTATCACATCGTTGTAGACGGCTACTGCCGGATTGGATTGTTTCTGCTGACCGTCATGGTGCAAACCGTTGGAGTTGGGCTGTCTTGGTGCAACGTTCTCGGCATTAGAAGTAACGCTTCGAACTGGCACAAAGCCATTATCATTGAAGGAATCACCTTCCTTTCCCGAATGGACTTCATTCTTCTTGATCCGGCCGTTCAAATAATCCGACACCTCAGTGGTAATGTTTTCCGCATATTTCAGTGCCGTATCCACGTCTACATAGTGGAATGCTCGGTTCAAGTATGGTGTAGACTGCTTGCTGTCATCGTAATCTTCCGGAAGGTACAAAGTCGTATTGCCAATGGCCTCGTCCAGATACCGTAACAGGTCCTCCCCTTGCAACGTTCTCGGCTCTTGAGATTCAAATTCAATCTCATAGTCCTGGGGTACATCCTTATGGTATCTTAGTAAGGTCTTGAATGGTTGCACAAAACTCACCGCCTCATATTCCGGAGCATCCGGTAGCACCTGCTGCTGGGTGTACCTCAGCACCTCTCCGTGAATGTCCTCCGGCTTGGGAGCTTCCATTTCATACTCAAACACATGATCTGCTTTTATCGGCTCGGCCGGTTTTTCTTCAGGCTCTAGTTCACCCCCCAAACGGGGAGGATTGACCAACTCGATTGCGTCTTCCGGCCCGTTGACCAGATACTGGTTAGAGGTTTTGATCGCCTCATCCAAATACTGAATTAAATCCGCGCCCTGCAGACTTTGGATCTCCGGACTGATCTTGATCACTTTCTCCTCGTCCGGTGGCAAAAATTCCGTCGAGTTTTTGATGGCTTCATCCAGAAAATTGAGCAGATCTTCTCCATGCAATTCCCTTGGATCTACCAACGCTTCCGGAATTGGAAGCAGGAACATGTCCGTGTCGTTCTGAAACACTAACGCCTGGGCATACGGAAGGTAAATGCTTTCCGTATCGTTCATATCTTCCATGTATTCATACTCTGGTGAGTACTCGTAATCCAGTTCGTTTTCTCGACTGCTGCTATCTTCGTCCGATTCCGAACTCGTCGGTCTGGGATCGGTGGTCTTGTTGCCGTCCCCCAGTGCCGGTGGCTCGACTTCCGAGATGCCCCGTTTACTTCGATGCTTCTTGGGCTTCTTGGACTTCGAACGGAACTCACCAAACGATTCCTCCCGTCCATGATCGAAATGCTCGTCCTCTTTTCCCTTCTCAGAATACACAATGTTCGTTCTGGAAATGGTTACCTTTTCCTTGATCTTGGGTTCATCTTGCGGTTTTGGTTGTATCTTGGTCGTTTCCTGGTGCCGTACTTGCGTGTAAGTTTTCTTCGGTTCGAAGTTTTCATGCGCTCGGACTTCTTCTTCGGCGTCATCGAAGTCCAGTTCACCGAATTTCTTCTTCCCCTCATCGGAGTCGTAGAAATCTGCTTCGACATCCTGATCTCCGTTGGCACGACCCACTCGATCGAATTTCTTGTACCGCTTGTTACGATGATGCTCCTGATTTGGTGCCTTGGGGTCGTTCCACTTATCCGAAAATGTATGCTGAGACGCAAATCCGTACTCGTTTTCATTTTGAATGAAGTCATCCAGCTCCTCCGCGGTTACAGCCGCTGCGTTCGGGTGCTTTGTCTTCAGAAGGTATTGATCTCCGTGTTGTTCAAAGTGGGCATCTTCCGGGTCTACGATTCCGTCCAGATGGATTGGCTTGAAGTCGTCCGCTTGCGGGGGCAGTACAAACTCGTGACCGTCGGCATTGGCATAGAAGAATTTAGTTCCTGCGTCTGGTTCCGTGTAGTACACGCTATCGTCGTTTTGAGGCTCCAGATTGGCATTCCCGATATAGGACAGCTCGTTCGGGTGCTTTGAGAACAGTGCTTCGTATTTCGGTTTGTGCTTATATTTTTGCTTCTTGTTCTGCTCTACAGGCCTGTGATAGGTGGTTGGCTTGGTATTGGGCTGCGTGAACAGGCCGTATTCGAAACCTTGGGTGTCGAAGAAGTCCTTCTGTTTGGCTTTGAGCTTCTGAACGTAGTTGCGGATCGTATCGAAGGATGGTGGCGCTGGTGGGAGTAGATTGATGGGGGTGAATCGGATTTCTGGTGGATTATCGAGGTGCAAGGGGTTTACTGGGCTGGGTTTAAGCTTGGGAATGAAAGGAGTGTCGTAGGGACCGGGTTGGATGCTTTGGATATCGAAATTGAATGGGTAATAAAATTTGTTGGGGAATGAATTGGTGTGTGAATTGTACGATGGCGCGGTGCTATATGTCGGGGGTGGAACATGGTAAGCAAAGGGACTTTTGAAGTACGCACTGTTGAGCGCCTTTGTTGGGTAGTGTTTTGGATGATTGATCGGTGGAATATTTCCGTATTCAGGGTAGTACGGGATCGGAATCTGAACCACGTTGGATGGCACTGGCTTCAGCACATCACTTATCGTATGCAGTAGCTGAGGACTTATCGATCCGAGCATCTGCAGTGTCCTCGGTCCTTTGGGCATCACTACCACCACATTTTCTACTCTGGCACTGTTGAATTGTGGCATCACTAGCACCACGAGTGCAATCGTCGGACGTAACCATCTTGAAATCAATTTCTTCTCACTCATCTTTCATAACGTTTCAACCTGAACAGGATAAGAAACAAAAATTACTAAAAACCTTAAATTGCTTTTTTATAGAAGCCCCTCACAACTAAAACAATGAAACACTCAAAACAACACGCACACATAAATCCACCACAGTCCTTTTTGAATATCCTTACTCATGGGTTTTGTTGATGTTGGCTTCTGAAGATGATCACACCACGTTAAAAATTCAACTTTTCTAGTCGTTTCCACTGGAGGCAATCCAAGGCCTCAACATATCTCGAACGCCGTCCAATTCGAGCACTTCCTGCCAAAGTCAGGATCCGAAAAAAAAAATCCGAAGATCTCCACGGACAACTTGACACGGAAAACAACAAAAACTTATAGCGATCTGCCTGGTGATCGCACTGATTTATATAGACTTTTGATCCAAAGCCTCCGGGGCTGCAGTGCGATAGCCCCCCGAAAAAAAAAATCCATTCCAAGACCCACCTTGGTACACACAGCAAGAGCACAACAGAGAGCCACCGGCATACTCCTCGCATTTCGCTCCATTTCTCTCGGCACACACCGCCCGAGGAAAAGCCTTTTCCCAAACCACCCAACTTCAGCAACCATGTGCGCCACTTCGCCGCTCTCTTTCAAGCTCTCTGCTGCTCATCACCGACAACCATGCCGACGGCCACCAATCTCTTTCAACCTTTTAGCATACCTACCCAAAGCAACAAAAAAAAAAACAACAGCATGTTCCTACTTATTGAAAATCATCTTAACACTTTCGCGATCAGAGTAAACGAGAGCGAAAGTTGCGATCGTCAGAGGCTTCACTTTTCTAGCGTTACCGTTTTCGGTAGGAACGGGGCTCGACACCCTCGGCACGGTTGGCCTGGAGACGATCTTTGTTATTGTTGTTGTTTTGACGCAAGCAACACCTGTGATCTGCCCCCGCTGCCGGCAACGCGCGCGCCTTGGCCACCCACCATTTGCCCTCGCTGGCTGTCCACCGAACGATGATGGGAGAATTAATGTTTTCTTACGAGCACTTCCTTCGCTTCCTCACTCATTTCACTCAGCAGTAACGGGTGGTGGTGCTTTTATCGAGACCCATCATCAATCATACGATCGGCCAATTTTTTTCCGTTTTGCTCGTTGGATATTTTTACATACAAAAAAAATGGATACACAGGAAGCGCTCGATGATGCGGAATTGCGATTGGGGGCATTGTTATGATACATATTTTTTTGTTTGCTTCGTTCAATTTATCCTAGGAAACTGTGTCATTAAACGCCTCCGTGAGGAAATGGTAGGTTTCTTTAAATTTAATTTGCACTGTTCCACTACGGGATCGCTGGTCTTTGGCTGTAGTGATTGGTACCAGTGACGTGACCCATTTCGGTGGATTTCAATTACGAATACATGATACGTACCTGCAAATATTTTTTTTTTATATGTTGGATTAAGTAAATTATATGGATAAGTCACTGAAAGAACTTTGTCCAATTGACCTATATGGAAGTCACACGAAAAGAAACTTTGTGTTGCTACACACTGCCAGTTACCCACACTTTAGGTGACCTAGGGGAGTGTCACAGGAGATGACGCTTCCCCCAGAGCTGGAGACTCTATTTTCCGACATCAATGCTTATCCGGCACGCTTATTCTTTACTATTTCGTGAATGGGGAGAATAATGCTCGAATTGCCAGTTGTAATACTTTTCTCTAGTCTTTAGCCATCCCCTGTCTAATTCTACTCTATCCTAGTTCTGTCACTTCCTTCTTCTGTCTTTAGGGCTCTTTTTTCGTTCCACTAACACAATTAGGGTTGATGCATATATTATGTCACGCTCTAAGGGGGAAGGGGGGTCTAAAATTTTGTGACGAGCAATGCATTAAGTATAGGAAAAACGTCACGATAAGGGGGAGGGGGTAATTTTTTGCTCGATTTAGCGCCCAAGTAACAATACAAGCTGAACATTAAGAACAAAAGCTGATTATTTGTTGATTTAAGATGTTCAAAGCTGATTAACATCAGGCTGAATATATAGTTGATTAGTAGTGCATGAAGCGAATTTTATCCCCACAATCCAACCTCAATAGGTTAGCTGATCCAAAGATTGAACAAGCCTTATTTAAGCTTAACACAACTCCACAAATCAGCAATGCGTTACACATATTTTGATAGCTTGATTTGTTAAATGTCGTAAGTGTCTGTGTCACTCGTTGCATGTCCGGCATTTTAGTTCTACTAAATTCACTGCCTACCTTTCTAATTACAGGCAGTGGCAGCAGTAGAGTCAAGAAAAAGAAGATTTTAAGGAATAGTACCAGGTAGAAGTGGTTGGCGAGGACGTCGAAAGTATTAACATTTGTACTTCTATGTTGTGACTGTTCACCACTTTTTATTGTACTGAATTTTCAGACCGCATTCCAAAAATATTACTCAATTATGGCACTTAAATAGCATCCAAATGACCATCAAAATAAATCGCGTGCTTGTGTCCACATTGTGTTAAGTGCACTTGAAAATGAGACGATTGTTTAATTGTCATCAGTTGTTGCTTACAATTCTGCATTGCTGTATAATACTCTTCCGGTTTCTGTTATTCAACTTAAGTTTGACGTGCTTCAAGTTAATGATCATACGTTTTACCACACATATGCCTAAATGGTCCAGTAGGTATGGTTGACGCCTATGAATCAGCGACTGCCGATTCGAATCCCGAAATGCAAGGGTTATAATTAGACTTATATTAACAATTTAAATATATTAATCCAATTAGTCAGCAACAAGTTGAAGCAGTTCCATATAAATGCATAAGATATGAAGAGGTCTTCCATTATTATTTTTGAAATAAAACTAGAAGCCTGAACAAGGGTTGGAAAAGACTGTTATTTAATGCCTTAAAAAGCTTATAATGTATATTACTGTTAAGCTTTTGGCTGACTAAAATCTCCAAATTTAGATGTTTAAAAGCTGGACAAAGGTTAACGTGGTCTATGTACAGCAATTATTCAATCTAAGGCTAAATTGAAATCGATTAATCAACACTTGTTAAGCATCAAATTGTTACCTGGGCGTGACATAATTAATGCATGGGCCCTTATCTTCTCATTCCACGAATAGCGCAGTAAGTGGTGCCGTCCACCCTTCGCATTTTCTCGGTTGTCCAATTGAGCTGATTTTCTGTAACTGACAAGTTTATGGTTGACCTTAACCACATACAAACAACAAGTGCCTCCCTCAGGCATGGAAAATCATTTACATTCATTTCATGCATTCATTTACATTCATTTGCCTCTAACTTTTATATCAACAGCATTCCGCAAAAAGATGTACAGAGCTTTTGTAGGTTTTCTTATTAGCTACAACTTCTGCCCATAACTCAAAACTGTATCTCTTATGCAACACGAATTAGAGCGGACAGAACTTGTCACTGTTTTTCAGTGAATGTGAAATTCTTCGCCGCCACTTACCGTTCTCCTGTACACCGCCGAAGATCGTCCTTAGCACACGTCGCTTGAAAACCCCGAGTGCTTGCAGGTCCTCCTCGAGCATAGTCCATGTCTCGTGTCCATATAGGACCACCGGTTTTATTAGCGTTCTGTACATGGTACATTTGGTGCGGAGGTGAATCTTTTTTGACCGTAGTTTCTTCTGGAGCCCGTAGTAGGCACGACTTCCACATTGTTGTCAGCCGTCATTAAGGATCCAAGGTAAACGAATTCCTCCACAACCTCGAAAGTATCCCCGTCTATCGTGACATTACTTCCTAGACGAATCCTGTCATGTTCGGTTCCGCCTACTAGCATGTACTTTGTTTTTGACGCACTCACCACCAGTCCGACCTTTGCTGCTTCGTGTTTCAGGCGGGTGTATGTATAGTTCTGCCACCGTTCCAAATGTTCTTGCGATAATGCCCATGTCGTCCGCAAAGCACACAAATTGACCGGATTTCGTGAAAATCGTACCCCGGCTGTTGTGCCCGGCTCGTCGCATTACACCTTCTAGAGGCCGTCACCTTGTCGCAGTCCCCGGCGAGATTCGAATGAACTGGATAGTTCACCCGAAACCCTTACGCAGTTTTGCACACCGTCCATCATTGCTTTGATCAGTCTGATCAGCTTCCCAGGAAAGCCGTTCTCGTCCATAATTTTCCATAGCTCTGTGCGGTCGATACTGTCGTATGCCGCCTTAAAGTCGATGAACCAATGATGCGTTGGGACCTGGTATTCACGGCATTTCTGGAGGATTTGCCGTACGGCGCCATTCAAAATGGTGATCGCTCTGAAGTTTTCATATTCCAAATGATCGCCTTTCTTGTGAATGGGGCAGATTACCCCCTCCTTCCGCTCCTCCAGTAGCTGTTCTGTTTCCCCGATCCTGACTATTATCCGGTGCAGGCAGGTGGCCAACTTTTCTGGGCCCATCTTGATGAGTTCGACTGCGATACCATCCTTACCAGAAGCTTTGTTGTTTTTGAGCTGCTGAATGGCATCCTTAACTTCCCTCAACGTGGGAGTTGGGTCAGTTCCGTCCTCTGCTGCACTGACGTAGTCGTTTCCTCCATTGCGCTGGTCTCCCGTGCCTACGTTCTCCTCACCATTCAGGTGCGCATCGAAGTGCTGCTTCCACCTTTCAATCACCTCACGTCCGTCCGTCAAGAGGCTCCCGTCCTTATCCTTGCACATTTCGGCTCGCGGCACGAAGCCGTTGTGGGATGCGTTGAGCTTCTGGTAGAACTTCCGTGTTTCTTGGAAACGGCACAGCAGTTCCATTTCCTCGCACTCCGCTTCTTCCAGGCGGCGTTTTTTCTCCCAAAAGATGCCGGTCTGCTGTTTCCGCTTCTGTTTATACCGTTCCACGTTCTGTCGGGTTCCATGCTGCAGCATTACCGCCCGCGCTGCGTTCTTCTCCTCCAAAATCGCTCTGCACTCCTCGTCGAACCATTCATTCCGTCGACTTCTTTCCACGTACCCGATGGTGCTCTCGGCTGCGTCGGTGATGGCTGCTTTTATTGTACTCCAGCAGTTCTCTAGAGGGGGCACATCGAGCTCGCCCTCCTCTGGCAACGCTGTCTCGAGATTCTGCGCGTATGCTAAGGCGACATCCGGTTGCTTCAGTCATTCTAGGTTGTACCGTGGCGGGCGTCGGTACCGTACATTGTTGATGATGGAAAGTTTTGGGTGCAGTTTGACCATCACCAGGTAGTGGTCAGAGTCGATGTCGGAGAAGTGCCGTCCATCAATCAGAACGTGGTCGGTTTGCGATGCCGTCTGCTGTGGTGATC